ACTGTAAAAACCTTTTCGCATTCCTGCCACCGATTTTCTACTAGTTAGAAGTTTACTAATAATCCTACAGGCAGACGAACATAACCAACTGGAATGACCATTTCTGGCTTATAAGCCTTCATCAGCCAGTCAGACCAAATTTCAGATGATGCACCACCCGAGGCTCGAACCCGCGACATGTTGATTCGAAGTCCCACGCTCTAACCCATTCACTAATTTGTACAGTCTTCCCCAATTATGAGGTCGCCTGCATTTGGCTAAAATGTCGACAGTGATACGTAGATAAATCCAGTTTTTTTTGCAGAATAGATTAAAATTGACAGACTTTAATTCACTGTCAGATAATAAGAATGGTCATAAATTGTCCCATAATTATGATATCCCTCATATTTTGGTGTCAATGCTTGAATCTGAAAGAATTTCAGCAATGCTATTAATCAAACATTCAAGTTCTGTTTACCCCCAAGGCACGCTACACTGCTCAAATGTCCCAGTCAGTTGATTTTTCGACACATAACTTGGATTGTAGCAAAATAACGTCTTAAAACAGTCCAAGTAGATTCTCGGCTGTAATATGGCCAGCTCGTGGCCTCAGTTTTGTTGCTTCTTTACCACTGTTTCATCCTCTAGGCCAGATACTTTTTTGAGGCGCCGCACGTTCACTGTTTTTACGGCTCATACAGGAAAATGGTTGAGCAGAAAGGCTCTCGAGGCATGAAAGAGCTTTCTCCGTCCTTTGTAAATTGAACCGAAGCTAACGTCTTGCACGATAAGAAGACTGCCGAGCCCTCATACTGCCACCTCCACATGATCGTTTAACCCAAGTAGCGGACTGTTTATGCCAATCCATTCAGCACTAGCCTCACTTATCCGGACCATCCCACTTACATGACTTTTCTGGGGAGATGTCCACCCTCTGCCAATTATCTGTCGAGATGATCTGATCGCCAGCCCAATGCACTCGGTGTCCTTTGTTGTACGCCATCCAGGGCAGCATTCATCTAAGACTCGGATAAGGAAGTAGGAGTAAACGCTTTAGTATTCAGTGCATTAAAACCATTGAAAATTGCTGCACTACATCCCGCCTGAAATCGCGAGGGCTGTTACCACTCGCAGGCACCTCACGTAGGACTGCTATTTTTGACCACAGAGTGCAGATCTGCTTCCTTCCAATTCGCTTCTTCATTTCGCAGTTTGCAAGAGCCACAAAGTGGTTAATTTTCTATCCGCTTAAGCGTCTCCTACCTTCTCCACCGCTGCGACTCGCTGCACGAAAATACGACTTGTATTTTTTAAAATCCACCACTTCCCCTTTCGCATGCATACTTAAAGGCAAGAAATGACTGACACAGATCCTCGTACTAATTACTAGGTTTTCGCCATCCTAATGACGGGTAACAAAAACACTTCAATTTGAACCTCTCAACATTTGACTTGCGGCACATTGCCATTCCAGATGAAAAGACACGCTAATACACTGGGTAGTCCTATAATTGTGGGACAGTCACTTGGACATTATACTAGACTAGGTAACCATTTTTATTTATCTCCTTGCAAATAGGATCGCTGTACGCTATGCTGACAAAATAATCAAACGCAACCAGCCTTATGATTAAGGGAGGCACAATTAGACATTTGTGCCATCGCATCTTCTTGGAGAAGAACAGAGCGTCGTTTGCTACCTACGAAAGCCCAAATCAACAGAATTCATAACACCCGAGAAAGCGAAGCTAAGTATTATTTTTTAATGGTGATGCTCAGTCAACTGACACTGCGAACGTCTCAAGAAAGTCAGAAAAAGGAGAGAAATGAAACCTGCAGGAAAACATGGTGACAGTCTCGATTCGGGCTCACTACGCATACCTAACATAATTGCCTACTTATTTCTTAGTAGTAAGCATGTGTTCCCAACACAATTGTACGACACAGTCCACCAACATTGCATTTCCCACACAGAATTTTCGCCTCCTGCGGTCACTTTTAGTTTTATTTGTTTCGGTTTATTTTTAGTTTATTTTTTTAATTTAGTTTGTTAGTTAGTTTAGTTTTAGCTTACTTTAGTCAGTCTTTTCTGACATATTCTTCTAAAATGCCGGTCTAAATGCATTGGAAACTAATGTAAACTCCACACGGATTAATGTGGGCATGAAGTGTAGGACAATCGATCTTACTCAGTGCAAGACAAAACTTGCAGAATATGTTTTCAAATAAAAACTCCTCGTGCCATTAGCGCGGACGCGAGCGTGATGACCGCAGAGTTACAAAAAAAGTTGATTGAAAAATTGCCTGAAAAAAGACATATTAAGCGGCCCTGCTAAATATGGTTCCACTAGTCTTTTCGACATGCAACAGTACTTTAAGGCACTAACGGTACAAAACAGACGTAAATATTAGCCACACAATTCTTCCAATCTACAAACAAACATCAAAAAAGCAACAAATATGTTTTCTGATCTAGTTAAGTCACACAAGCATAAACGATTCAGTACTGACCTCAGCAAGTGAGAAGGTGGATGAGCTCACAGGCAAGAAGCCTCCTCAATTATTCGTGTTGACGGATACGGATAAGAATTTAACTGTCGACTGCACGTTAAACCAAAAGTCTGTAATTAGGAAAGTTGGCCCGATAAACCAAAGCAGACTGAGCTGACTCTTTCTGGTATTGTCTATCATTTTCTATCAGTTATTGCCCAACTTCAAACTGGAAAGACCCGAGTGTCAACCTGGTTTTTTTGGTTCTACAGAGAACGATCTACTGATGATGCATTGTAGTTAAACATATTTTTTATGCAGTTTTTCTTATTTGCATTGCGTTATGAAAATGCGATGATGCGCTCAGCGGCGAGTGTAAAACTTCACACGATTTTTAAATCATCCCCCCCCCAGAGATTGCCTTACCCCTTCAAGCCATCTCAACACCCGTGGTCAGCATTTTTGCGTAAATCCATTATAAATTCGGGCGCGAAGCGCTTCACCAATTACGGCACTGGGAATTACTTTCCTGTAGACAGTGATCTACATACGAACAATAAACATTTCTACACAACTGTTTAAAGTCCGATATTAGGCCAAGGGGCGTTCCTGTCAGGCCACAAGCTAGAATCGACTTTGGTCGGGCGGTCGTCGGGAGCTGTTGCCCACGCATACTAAGAACTCTCAATAAAGAATACTATATACGCCTAGAAATTACGACGGAGGATTTGAAGCTGAGAAAGTTGCGTACGAGTTACACCTTGAGATGGCAATACCCAGAAACCTACAGAGCTGCATCGCGATTAAAGTGACGGACGAGCGAGACCAAAAAGAGGACCCAACTTCTGGACGAAAAGAATCGCAAGAAAAAGTAGCTGGCCCGCCATCTATCCACAACCTGTAACTTGAAAAGCTGACCTGACGAAAGTACCCCAACATGCTGTCGACTGCAACACGGGAGACGAACATCCAGTAGATTTTATCGCCGCACTGGAAACGAAACTCTTAAAGGCGCCGACCACAGTCGACTAGAAGAATTCGATTCGCCAGCGAGCCGAATCTCTCATCATAGTTCACGATCCAGGAAGAACTATCTCCTCGGCCGAGAAAAAGGCCATAAAGGAATTAACCGGGATCCTGCACAAGTCGGTTTATGTGACAAAAGCATATATACTATTGAACTATCGGCGGTCATACAGAATCGTCGGCTCTGATCTCATGAAAACACTCGTGAGCGAAATCAACAAGGGCCTGAACCTAGTGAAGAACCAGCAGGTAACATTCGAGACTGACTGGCGACAGATGAAGGCACAGGATGCTGTCGCAGCACGCTTCTAGGGTCTACTAGGGATGCACAAACCAAGCATCCCTTCGCGGCTATTTGTGGCACTGAAAAGCACACCTACGTACGAACTAGCTAACCGGCTAGCTAAACCTCTGATGAAGGTGACGGAAGACTCGGAACACACAGCCGTATCGTAAACACTTCCTGGAAAAAAAAACCAGAGGCATCAAAACAACTCCCGATGAAATACAGTAGGCGCCGGTTACTAAGCCCACCTCGGGCCCAGACCAAATTGGGCTTAATAAGCG